ACGAGGTTGGCCCTTACCCTGTCAGAGCTAACACAGTCTGGAATACAATCAGTCTGTAATTCACTGAACAATGAACACTCTTTTGTGTCTGAACTTGAATTGTCACTTGGTGACTTGACTGATAAATGTATTGAATTTATACTTAGGGTAGTAGTAAGTAAGTTAACCACACTGTCTCTGAGTAATAATATCACTGATACCAGTGCTGCCAGTCTCTGTGAAGCTTTACAGCATCCAAGCGGTAAGCTTAACACACTAGATCTGGCAGATAATGAGGTAACTGATACCGGTGTTGCCAGTCTATGTGAAGCTTTACAGCGTCCAAGCTGTAAACTAACCACACTAAATCTGAGGCGTAATGAGATCACTGATACCGGTGTTGCCAGTCTATGTAGAGTTTTACAGCATCCAAGCTGTAAGCTTACCACACTAAATCTGTGCCATAATGAGATCACCGATATCGGTGTTGCCAGTCTATGCAAAGCTTTACAGCATCCAAGCTGTAAGCTTACCATGCTATATCTGTTGGGTAATGAGATCACTGATGCCGGTGTTCCCAGTCTATGTGAAGCTTTTCAGCATCCAAGCTGTAAGTTAACCACACTAGAACTGCCTGGGTCTATTAATCATAAATGTAGGGAAAGTCTTCAAGCTATAATCGAGAGATGCCGACCATCTTTACACCTGTCCTTTCGTTGGTAATTTTTTTAACCTCAATCGGTTTTTATAGTTAAATAAAATAAATCCTTGCAAGAAAAATGTTAATTTTGGGTCAGAGACTTACAAGGTAGTTCAAGTATTTTAATCATCGGAGTAAAAAGCAACGCTCAATGCAAATAGAACCGCAAGTATCTTGTAATAAAGTTTATTTACTAGCTATGTGGCTTACTGTCCTTGATTTGTGGGTGTAAACCGCTTAAGGGTAGTGTTTTCGTTCAGGAAATATGCGTTGCCTTTTCATGACAGATTTGGTTTGATTACCAGACTAATGACTGACTTTAGTTCCTGACAGTAATTCAAAAACTTTAGCATATTATATTTTTAAGGCAGTTTTTCAGAAGAATTGAATAGAGAGAGGAGAGTCTGTTCAAAAATCCGCTGACCTGAATCTGCTAACCTGTAGAGAGAGATCCGTTTTAACGACCCGCCACAGAAGTTAGATGATTCGTATTAGAGATATGGCAAGTCAAGGCTCTGGTATTGTTCCCTTCGGACAAATAAATAAAAATATGCCGATTATATACTAGCAGTGCTACTTTTATAAAAAGTGGGAAAATATGTTGGCTTTTCTAAAAAATGTCAAGAACTATGCTGGCGCAATCTATGAAAGCGTATCTCCTGGGAGGGGGAGTGGCAGCTGAGGCACATAAAAATTACTAGGAAAAAAAAAACGGCCATTAAGTTATACAGAGTTTAAAAGCCAATCCTTAGTTTTGTAATTCTAAAAAATAATTTCTGAGAAAAGGGGACTAAATTGCCGGGTAATTGACGCAAACCAAGTTCTTTGAGATATTTACGGCTTTCTTATTTTGCGTGTGGACAGAGTAGAGATTTGAAGTCATTTTATGTTAGGAAAAGAGAGGGGGGGAGGGGAGGCAGATAAGTGTTTGGTCAAAATTGGTAAAGAAACGGGTAGGGGCCTGGTTGGGAGCACACTCTTGGAGTTTGGATTGAAACCCATAGATTGTAAGAAGGGTCAACATTGAACACCTATTGTATCTGTTGCCATCCGCAGAAGTGCAGCTTTAGATACTCGACAGTTACCGAGGTGGGGAATGAAGGTGGACAATGAAAAAAGCGAAAGTTAGCTGTGTCTTCAGCTTGGTTAGGGTGACACTTAATTTTTCCCAAAGGGCCGGTTTCAAAATCTAAAAAAAAGTCTTAGTCCTTGAACAAAGTAAGCCAGTTGCACGTACTGTCCTTTTTTTGTTTTTGTTTTGTTTTGTTTTTTTTATTTTCATTCAATATTATTTTAACAGCATTTTGTTATGAAAGTTTAGACTGCACAGGTAATCAATTTACAATGAATTTGTTATTAAAACGCTCGCACTGCATTACTTACATTATAACATAACCAAAGTAAAGCGCGCGCTCTGATTGGTCAAAAATAAATAAGAACCGGAATGATTGCACCAGATTCAGTTAATTAACATTTACAGTCGTAAAGAATGAACGACACGAAGCTGCTAAAATTACAAATATCTGTTTATATTTACCTATATTTTTTGTTAATTTCTGTTTCTTCCTACCTCCCCCTATCTTAGGCTCGTGCTTCAAGTAGTTTTTTTTCCATTTTTTTATTTCTTTGAGAGCTTATTATTTTCCTTAGCAATTTGAAGCTCAATTTTGTAAATAGTTCTGATCTGAGCAATGAAACCTTGAAATATGCATAGATTATTTGGGCACTTTCTAGAGTATATATCATATGTTATATTTCACTAGTAATGAGATCTAATTAATTAAAGCCATGTCTTCTTACATGTCGATTTTCCCAATTATTTATATCACATTCTATCAGCGTTTCAACATTTAGACACTTACTCTAAGCCAGGATAGAAAATCTTTCCAGAATTTAGACGGTGTTTTACATGAAAAAACCAAATATTCCATGGATTACGCTGCCTCCAGACAGGGGGCGCAGCCAGATGGGGTGCAGTTAGGCTAATGTCCGTGTTTTATGTTTCACAAAGCTATCTTAAACGATTGCGCTATTTCAGTACAGACAAGTTCAAGATGAAAAACAAAAATTAATACA